TGTAGTGGGATCAGCCTGCACGAAAACCCTAATACACAATTTTTCAGATTTTTTGGAAAAGCCTTTGTCAAATGGCATATTTCACGATGGCTGCATATGCTGCAAGTTCTTACCGTAATAATACAGTAGCGAAGAGAGACTGGTGATTCGCTCCATGCTGTAAATGGCAATCAAACAGGTGCACATTTTTTGGGACACCCTGTACATGTTGAGAAGTGCCTTAGTATATCCTCAGTGCAACCTTGCAGCATTTTTATTGACTTCTTAGAAAGATAAATGACATTGAAAATAAGAGGTGATTCTCTGGGATCCCCAAGGGATGCCCAAAGGATCACGCAAAATGGCAAAGAACGACTCTTGTGTGACAGTAATTTGGCATCCGCTATATGCAGGTATAAGGGAGTGAGAACCCTTCATAAGCAAGATAGAGAAGGAAGAAAAAAGGTATCCGAAGTAGCAAGATATCATGCATCCATTCTCAGATACCCTCCCCTCCCCAGCGAGGATATACGTGCATATGGGCCTTAGCCTGACAGTTGAGCATATTATACCAGGATATCGCCACACAAGCTGAGATTTTCACTGTGTTGAGTGACTCTTGGGACATTCACAGGGGATCAGTCCTTGCTTCTAAAGCTTCCATTTTCCCGAGATTCGAAAAAACATCATGAAGTTGTACTGAATATGTATGGCATTGCTAGGCATGTTTATAGTACAGGAGTATGGGGCGGAGATTGCGGACCTGTGAACTTGGCAGTAACACTAGTGTTGCGAGATATTGTAGATTATCAATTTATCGAGACCGCAGTGACACCCCCCCCCCCCCCCCATACTCCGGGAAGTCGACAACAACAATAGGAACCTTGAGTAATCAAAATTTTCGATGAACATATCTAGACCTTATCTTCGCTCTTCGTCTTTTTCGTAAAGAAATACCGGTAGACTTACCGCAAATAAGTAGTGGATTTTCAGGCCTAGTAATAGGATGGGTGGGTTTAATATACACTATCCATGTATTTACAGGAAACGTTTTCTACGAACTTTTAATACTTTATTTTACAGAACACTTAGGTGGCTCGGCAGATTGCCGAATACTGCACTGTTATCTGGAAATTCAGCTACCTTCAAACGTAGAATAGCGCAAGTCGATCTGTTGCAAGTTAAGAGTTTTCATAACTACTGGGACTGTTCTTGCTTTTTTTCGTTTCTTTTCTATGAATCGTTGCGTTTTGCTCGTCTGTCGCCTTCAAACACGACACTTATGACTAGGCGTTATTTTTTTTTGATGATGGCAGTTTTCTTTGGTTTTTTGTTACTAACCATTGGACCACTGGCCGACCACACACCTCTACTATTTTGTCTACTGTGTCCGATTAAACATCTCTTCTCGCATTTCCTGTTATTTTTATGGCGCACCTTTGAGTGCATTGGAATAAATAAGTAAATAAATAAAGCACTGTTCTTGAGCTGGAATTTACAAAACTCTCGACCAGTGGCGGGCCGCGGGGGGGGGAGGCGCCCTCCCCCCCTCCCCCCAAGAATGGGTCGTGAAATTTTCGAAATTTACTTACGTGGGATATAAAAATGTGCAAATGACTTGTTTATTCTTGTAAACAATTAAAATAATTTTTGAAAATTTTCAAAAATTTAAAATAGGCTTATAAAAAAAATTATTCGGGGGCGTGGGTGACGTCACGAGCCTTTTTTCCAGATTTTAGGGGTTGGGGACCCCCACAAATTTTGAAAAGCACCCCTAAAATTCATTTGGAGTGCGTGGCTGGCGCCACGCACCTTCATTTGAAAAAAATTTTTACCCCTCCCCCCAGACCGAAATCCTGGAACCGCCACTGCTCACGACCTATACATTTTTTTGTCGTGTCGAAACTTTGCCTAGCAGATTCATAATAGATCATCACTACAACTTCATGACGTTTTGAGTTGAGTTGAGTTCGCTAGAAGATAAACGACCTTGAAAACAAGGGCTGAGTTGGGACTCTCGAATTCACACAAAACAGTGAAAATCTCAGCTTGTATGGCAACATTCTAGCATCCATTTGCTCGAGTAAAAGAGTGTGAAAAATAGAAAGGGAAGAGTATATTTTTAAAAGGAACGAGATATGACGCTTCCCTTCTCAGCTTCCCTCCATAGTGAGGATGTATGAGCTTACGGGCCTTAGTTTCACTTTCAAAGAGAAACTAAATAGGCTTTTCTGTCAAGCATTTGAACACATATCCGGATTTTATGCACAACTTTTGAAAAGTAATATAAAATGCAAAGTTGAAGTGAAAAAACTGCCAGTTGATTGTAGATTTCCCTTACCTGGAATGACAAGTATTCGGCTATCACCAGTAGACTGTCATTTCTATAAGTAAGCGCTTGAGTATAACCGCATATGATTAGACGAAAAGTTGGGAACAAAAACTTGAACACCTTGGGAACTCGATGACTAAGTATTTTCCTTCCTTCTCAATCTCCTTGGGAATTTTCTTTCCTTTTGCGACATCCCGAGCCAAAAGTTCGAGCTTACATTCCGACTTCTGTAATTACGAAAGTTAAGTACTTCTAATATATCAACTAAGGCTGACTTCTTTGGTTTCATCAAGATTCATCTCACTCTAGGGGTTCCGAGAAGACTCGCTGACTTGCAGTAAATCGCCAACTCGTCAGTTTGTGGAGTTGAAATGTTATGAAAGTATAGTAGAGAATGATTTACAATGCTTCAAGCATTTGAGAACTGCGTGTGGATATCGTTTTAGGGTTAAGAAGCAAAGAAAATATTGTTTTTGCAGGATTCGGGGCAGAGCCGAAAAAGTGGGCAAAATTGGAGTATTAGGAGTGTTGGAAATTTGAAAAACTTTATTACGTAAAACAATTTGAAACTGGATTTTTCATGTGATAACTCAAATTATAAGGCTTCGCAAAGCTAGCCATTTTCCCATCACCAATAAATTTTGCAGCCCCCCCCCTCTCCTTACAAACAAAACTTATCTCACCGCTAATTCACATTAGTCAAACATACATAGTCCCAACTTCCCCCCCCCCTCTCCCTACCACACAAACACCTCCCCCTTCTTTTTATACAATACCGCTCATAATTCGTCAAAAAAGTCGCCGGACTGCGGCGCACTCCGCCACACTCCGCCGCAGTGCGCCGGAATGATCGTCAATTTAGCCATATCTCGCTTCAGAATGGACGAATTCTGAATCCGAGGACACCGTTCGATTCAGCTCGACGAGACGCATCATCTTATATATGAAGCTGAACGTCTATTTGTCTGTTTGTCTGTACGTATGTTCCGAATAGAAAAATCCATTTCTGAACCGATCCGGACCAAACTTGGCACACATACACTTCGGGCCCCGGCGGGTGTCATAGGCTACTTTTCGTCATTGATCGATATCGATTTTATCGATTTTTATCGATTTTTTGCAGAGTTCACCTACGGGGCTGGGAGTTTGCACGGGGGGGGGGGTAATCGAGCATGGGGATTCCGAATACAATATTTGTTTTCAGAATTATCGATTATTATTTTGGTTGAATTCAGGGTGCTGATAACAGTATTACTATTGATCTGTCGCTGATGACACATAGACAGTATAGTACAGGAGTATGGTAGAGAGCCACTCTGATCGAATTTGTTCTAAGATCTGCTCAAAATCACAATACCGCCCACAGAATGTCAAAATTTCCGTGAACTTTGCGGAATTTCGGGATTTCCGCCAGAGTGCGCGATAATCCGGGAAGTTCGCGACATTTCAGGATCCGCGAAACCATGCGAATCACGCAGAGTACGCAACGGCATAACTTCCTTCGGAATGAATATATTCCGAATCCAGAAGCAGCATTGTGTTCAGATTGTCGAGGCAAATATTTTGATATACAGTATGCTCTCGATATTCCATTTCCATTTTTTCGACTTTTTTCTGTGGAAGTCTTTTCGCAAGGATGTAACGCAGCGCTGTGTAACATAAAAGATTCCAATAAGCACTGTTCGATAGTACTGTCCTTGTAGGTTATAGTGCGTTCAAGAGTAGCTGCAGACTGTCTCCCAAAAGAGATAGAAGCGTTGGTGAATTTTGGAAAAATCAGGCGTTTCTAAATTCTACTCGCCGTAACTTCCTTCGGAATGAACATATTCTGGATCCGAAGAGAGCTTTGTGCTCAGTTCATCAAGGCAAGTCCTTCGATATACAGCATATCCTTGATATTCCGATTTCAATATTCTCAAACTTTCTGTAGACGTCTTTTCGTGAAGGTGTAAAGCAGCGCGCATTGCCCCTAGTAGACTCCAGCAAGAACCTTTCGATAGTACTTTTTCTTCAGATTACGTAGCGCTAAAAAGTAGTCACAGGCACCTTTCCATAGGAGTTAGAAGGGTTGGTGAATTTTGGAAAAATCATGTCGTTCTAAATTTTTCTCAATGTAACTCTAAAAAATGAAGCTCTCTTGCTAAGCAGATGTGATTTTCGTAATCAGCAGGTCGGATAACCCTTATAAGCAAGTTTTCCAAGATGTTTATAATTGTTCGACCACCACCGATACCAAGCGGTTTACTTCCAAGGCGAAATATAGACAGTACAAAACGGGAGAATAAACACAATAACAGATGGCGAACACGATGGTTTTGACGCCGGGATCTTCGCGAGTCGACCCTTCTTCGCTGGCGTGGAAGAGGAAGAATGAAACTGTTAGCGAGCCACCGGCTTCTTCCCCTGCGCTTCTTAGATCCGAAGCGCGATATGTTCCTTTTCTCATGCGTTCTTCAGAAGCTTGCATCTTGGCGTTGGCTCTGCGATCCTTACATTCCTGATGATCGCTCTGCGATATTCCCGCCGGCAACGTGGACAGGTGAGAGGAGTTTTGTGAGGCGTAGCGATAAGTAGAATAAAGCGTGGAGCGAAGCGTATACAAATGGACTCTTATGAGGCGTAGCGACGAGTAGATAAGGCGTGGAGCGAAGCGTATACAAATTGAGCCTAACCATACTTTTTTGACGTCTCACTGCTGGCGTTCTTCGCGCAACTGACGTTCGATATTGCGTCTTCTTTCGCGGTTCCTTTCAAGTCCTTCGCGTGCTGATCGTAGCTGCTCAATGATTGATTGGCTTTGCTCGGGCAGCTCACAAATGGCTGAATGGTGTCCGTAACCACGGCAGTGGTAGCATTTCACTGCGTATTTTCGACAATAAATGTCTTCCGCGCATTCTGTGGTTAGACACATGACACAGCGAAGTTCAGCCCGCAGCAAATCTCTCCGTGTTGCTGCGTCCGCGACAATCTGACACGAGTCTGAATAATGATTGCCGACGCGTTTACAAAACACACACTGAATGGTTTGTTCATCATTGCGTAAAATGAAGCCATGTGTGAAGCGTCTTGGTGGGCAGGTTCTTCGGTGCGAGAGCTCATCTATTAGGCGTTCGAAGTCGCGTTCCGCTTGAATGGCTTGATCTAGGTCTGCCCTAAGACGTTGCCGCCGGTGTTCAAGTCTCTCTTCGCGTTCCTCTTCCATTTCGCGTCTCTCTTTCAGTTCGCGAGGTGCTTCGTCATCGCTGTTAGCTTCCTCCATGTATTCCAGCTCTTCCTCGAGAGGAATTTCCTCATCAAGATGCTCAGCTTCTTCGTTCGGCTCCTCATTGTGACTTCCTTCAACTAGCGCCTCGTCTTCCAATTGGAGTTCATCCTCGACCATTGCGTCGTCTGCTTGGTGGACATCTTCTTGAACAGCCTTTGAAGGATTTTGAATTTCTTCAACTGGCGCCTCGTCTTCCAATTGGAGCTCATCCTCGACCATTGCGTCGTCTGCTTGGTGAACATCTTCTTGAACAGCCTTTGAAGGATTTTGAATTTCTTCAACTGGCGCCTCGTCTTCCAATTGGAGCTCATCCTCGACCATTGCGTCGTCTGCTTGGTGAACATTTTCTTGAACAGCTTTCGAAGGCTCGTCCGTCGTGTGTCTTTCCATTCTTTCTTTTTCCTGCATCGCCAAGTTTTCACCGTCTGGACTCTCTCGATTCTCTGTGCCCTCGTCTGTCGGCTGCGATCTCTTGATAAAGGCCAGTATTTCGTCCAATTTTGCGTTGACCTTACTCATAACGGCGCTTACGACGGCATCGATGATTTCCTCCCTATGCGTTGAAGTCTCTTCTTCCGATGTTGATTGCGACCGTGTTTTCTGGACTTCCTGCAGCGTTGCGACTATATCCTGTAGGCTGGTTTCAAACTCTTCCATCTTTCTCGACGTGGATTCCTTACTTTCTACCAGGGTATTGACTGCTGCAAGGATCTGTGCCTGCCGACTGACCATCTCTGTGCGTTCCTCCTGTTGCAAGTGATTCCGAATATCTCTGAGTCGTTGGCTGATCGAAGTGACTGTGCGCAAATGGTCGTCGATGGCCAAGTTGACGATATCCTGGTCCGTCAGCAGTTCCATCCCAAGGGCGTCTCTCCTCTCGCGCGCTATCATAGCTTTCCAGGCGTCAAAAGAGATCGCGTTCGTAGCCACGAGGAAATGAGGCAATACAAAAAACATTCGAAACTGCGTTCTCAAATATAAGAGCTCTAATCTAAAGCGATCACATTCATTCTCTCTCATCTGCAATAGAGCTAGTCGATCAGACCATTCTTGCGGTGAACCTTCGATGCGTAATACATCCCATTCCAACTGGCTGACGTCTCGCAATGTCTGATTGAGCTGTACAGCGTGATCGAGGATTTGCTGGAGCACCACTGGTGGAGGCGGGAGCGTTGGAATGGCGTTGCGTAGGCGTTTATTCTCTTCTTTCAAGCGGGAAAGTTCATCATCTCGACTCATGGTCTGAAAGGGTACTGGTTCAAATATGATAATATATAGATGACCAATAATTCTAGTGACATCAGACAGTTTTTTGGTGCTGTGCAAGCGAATATGAATTGTGTTGTCTCCTATCGCGAAAAAATTGGATGAGTGTGTTCAATCCGCGTATGGGACAACAGAGGATAGTATGGATCAACTTTACAAGCAGAAATATCATGCGCAGCCCTAGCGATTGAATGGTCAAATAAGTGATCAACAGCGCTAGTACCACCCCTAGTACTGCCAGTAATATTGATTTATACCAGTCTATCATAGTTTTGAATATGTGCTCTAAATCGGGCCACTGGAATTCGTTATACAGCGTGCTGTTTCCTTGGATGGTTGCTAATAGCGGGCCGCGTAACGAGTTTACATATTTGAGTGTCCCAACCAATGTGAAATTTTTCAAAATTGTTCCACATTTAACCGAACAGCTCACCTCTTGCCTTGCGGCATTCAGCGCGAACACCAGGGTAGACTGGGGGTTTTTTGGACCACATGGAACAGCAAAGGCATCTTGGGCGCAATATATCTCTGCTAATCTTTGCGTTTTCGCCTTACAAGTGATGACGGTTTTTGCTCCTTGCGCACAGTTGTAGCAGCCTTGTAAAATGCTGTTGTCCACGGTACAGACATCGTTATGCACTTCAAGAATAACATCGTTGATCTTTTCCTTAAAGTCTACGATAAATTCCGCCATTGCCATTTGCGGAATTCGTGCTGCGAGTACTCCACGAACATTTTCTAGCTGCCAAATTGGGGTTTTGATTGGCAGGCTCGTCTCTACATCCTGAAAAACTCTTCTTAGGTCTGAGGATGAACACTGACATTTGACTCTACTCTCCGCGGCCTCGCAACGGCAATCGTCGCGCAGTGTACAGTTTAGATTTTTAGCTGCTTCCCAAGAGTCACAATGCAAGTGTAGATATTCCTGTTCTCTCCATATCGCGAAATTTTCACCATCGGTGATGAATCGATCATTGAGTAGTGATATGGGAGGTAGTGCCAAGGAGGTCATCACTATTCGAAGTGAAGGTAATTCGACTGGAACATTAGGCGTCAGCGATATAATAAAGCGTTGAAAACTTGTTTTCTTGTCCTCTCGCTCTAGCGTGACTTCCAACTTCGCCTCTTCTCGCCACCTCATGCAGCGGAAAAGTTCGTAGACTTTTGTTGATTTAGGAACTGCGTAGATTCTATAAAAAAGACATCCTGCACTTGGATAGAAGCAGTCACACCCCCATCCCCCGCAGGATTCTATACATCCAGTTCTTCCTGGTAATGCGTTCCCAGCTTCCAACTCGGGTATGAGGCTGGAGCTGTTTACATCCGCGCATTTGTTCCTTGAACAGGATCCCATGTGCGCACAACGCTTACTGTCGATTGTATTTAGTTGGACGGCACGCGTAAAGAGTAACATCTGCCGATCACAGTGAAGCTTGATACTTTGCCATCGAATCTTGATGCTCGTGACCAGTGATGTGTTGCTGACAAGATTGAGGCACGCTTCTCTTTTCAGTGCATTTATTTTTAGCACTTCTGAAAGCGTTATCGTGCATTCTCTCACTCCATTGGTTACCGTACAGATGGTTCGCTTGTGGTCGAAAATATTCATGCGTTGGCATGTTGGCGACACCATTTTGGGAGCACAAGTAAGATTCAGGAGGATGGCCAACGCAATCGTCATTCGTGCACTTCTCGTTCTCCTTCTTTTCGAGGATAACTTGTGGATTCCCCATAGGCAGGAGTAAGCGACCGCTTTGACTCCACCCATTAGGAGCCAATGTAAGCCCCGTAGGATGAGTCTTAATGGCTTCCCAACGGTAACTGGAACGTATAAAAGCGCATATACTATCGCAATGAACATGTACAGCAGGACTGCTGAGATGATGATCGCCCCTTGTGGCCAGCACTCAGGGTTTAGTAAGATCGTAGAGCAGAACCAGCAGTCTACGTTTTCACAGAAATTAAGCCCTTTACAGATTGTACTTATCGTCTCTGTATGTTCACCGTTTTTCCACTTCAACATAACCATATGGTCATGGAGTGTTATTTCTGCTGGAAAGCGTATCATTTGCGACTGGGCTCCTTGATGTTGTGTTTTGCAATAGTTGTCCGCGCAAATTTGAAATGACTCGTTTATAGCCGTATGAAGAAATACTCCATTGGGCGTACAACTGAACGTGATGGAATGCGAACGTTCCTGTGTTGTGGGTGAGAGTATGGTCAAGATCATGACATAGAAGAGGAACCATTTTGTGCGTGAATTCCTAATCAGAAGTGATTTCTGGTTGGTCAGAGCATTCTCAACGTACTGTTGCTGCTTGCGTGGTCGAAGGTCGTATCGGTGATGAGTCTCTTCCTTTTCGTTACTCCCTGTTTCGGTTGGTGTTTTCGAGGTTAACAGTTCTTTACCTTCTTCAATTTCCAGCGGAACAAGAAGGTTGACCGGGCGTCGAATTTTACGTTTGTTCGTTGCGAGTTCAACTTCGCGAACCTTCCCATCCAATCCCTGATGAATTTCCGTAATTCGTGCTAATTTCCACGAATTTCTAGGGAGCACCGGGTCACTCACCAACACTACCGAACCAACCGTAGGCACCTCTGTTCCTTGCCTCCTCTTTACAATGTTCTTCAGCTGTTTCTCACGTAGGCTGGTGAGATAATGATGCTGCCATATCTTCCAAAAGCGTTCCAAGAATTTACAAGATGACGTGAGCGCTTCTTCTACCTGCTTTCGTGTTTGTAAAGTTCTTAACTCGGCGGGTAGTAAGTACTCCGGATCATCGTCCGTTGACGGATTTACGCATAGTGGAAGAGTTATGACCCAGTCCTTCTGCAAGAAGTCGATTGGGCGGATCATTCCGAATGTGTCCGGCTTGACCTCTTGATATGTTAGCGGACGCGAGTTCAGACAAGCCTCTATTTCCGCCATTATCGTCACCATTTGGTCGTAAGAACGTATGATCACCTCTCTTGCAGCTTTGTACAGCGACTGTTTGATTGACTTTATGAGACGTTCATAAAACGCGCCTTGCCATGGGGCATAAGGCGTGATGTGGTGCCAATCAATTTCAAGATCGGTAATCTCTCGAGCTATAGCGTCTTTGAGGATCTGTTCACTCAAAAGAAATGTTGGAGCGTTGTCACAAGTGATCGACTCCGGAATGCCCCTGCGCGCTATGAATCGTCTTAGCGCGTTCAAGAAATCTTCGGTGCTCATACTGGCTACCAATTCCAAATGGATTAAGCGTGTGACTGCGCAAGTAAAGATGCATCCATAGATTTTGGAACTTTTGTTTTCGTCTACCGAGGGGAGATCAAAGAAGTCGAGTCCGATGTGTTGAAAAGGCCGCCCTCTCTGAACTCTGCGTTCTGGTAAATTTGTGGAGTCTGGATATTGGTATGGCAGTGCATTGAATCTCCTACAATTGACGCAGCCGTGGATCAAATGCCTCACTTGTTGGCGTAATTGTGGAATCCAATACTGCATTCTGACGTTGGCCATCGTGTGCTCCACTCCGCTGTGATAAGTACCGTGGGCCTCGCGAATAATCAGATTCGCTAGGGTCGTTTTCGGTGCTATAATTATTGGACTCTTAGCCTCTTCTTTTAGTGATGACATTTCCAGTCTCCCTCTCGAGCGCCATATTTGTAGGTGATCTTGGAATAATCGCAATGTATTTTCCATTGATTTCCTATATTCTTCTGGCAAGTAATTTTCCTGGTGATAGCGTATGATCGCCCTCCGCGCAGCGCGCTTCGATTGTGTTGTTATGGGGATGGGCGTATCTTGTATTTCTTTCAATTCGGCGATATTTTTTCCGCTCTTCTCTGGGTGCTTTCGTAGCATTTTTTTGATGAAGATCAGCACTATTGCGATTGTGCGTATTGCTTTTCTCAGTGTTGAAAACCTTGAAAGATCCCAAGGCTGTTGACTTGATGTGTTTGCGATGGGTCCTTTTCGCAATACTAGTGCTGCTGCTTTAACTCGATTTTCTTCTTTATACAGCGTATAATTTGGGTTCGTCCATTCAGTCAGAGCTTTGCGCAAGAAATGTGGCCCATGCCACCACATGTCGGTATCCATGCCCTCCGAATTTGTTCCTCGAGTGCCTAAATCCGCGGGATTTTCTTCCGTTTTCACGTATTTGAATTGTACGTGGCTTTCTTGCTTCTCTAGTTCCGAGACAATGTCGCGAATTTCGTTAGTTCTGTTCCTAACAAGTACCCCTGCTTTGTCCTGATGAGGGTTGGTCATAAGCCAATTCAATGCGATCTGTGAATCCGAAAGAATGATGATAGTTCGCGAAAATTCCTTACTTCTTTCTCGTATTGCTTTAGAGACTGAATTTGCCAGTCGTACAGCTATCGTTAACGCGTTTAGCTCCATTTTGGGCATCGTTGTATGACCGTTTATGGAAGGAAGTTTTGATTTGGCCATGACGAGTGAAGAGAACTGCTCATTGAATAAGTAGGCGCATACTGCCATGGCCATCTCGCTTGCATCCGCAAATACTGCGAGATGATAAGGTTCCGTACCTAGCGTCAGTCTTCTGGGAATCGAGTTTTCGTAACCATCTACGCTTGTCTTGAGCTGAACCCATTCCTCGCGTAGGTTTGTACCAATGGGGTCATCCCAGTCTCGCGGTAATTTCCAGAGATTTTGCTGGAATACTTTCAATTTCGTCATCAGTGGGACTAACCATCCCAGTGGATCATACACTGATGCTATTTGGCGTGCGACGCTGCGTTTCGTTACAGAATTTGAGGGCGGTATCGCACAGTTGATGACCAAGTTGTCCTCATCCGCGTTCCATGTGACACCCAGTACCTTTTGGATACGCTTCGTTGCGCAAAATTCTTCACTCAAGACCTTTTCTAGGATATGGGTATTCGAGAGATATTCGCGTAAGTTCATTCCCATATCTTCAAAGAATCGTCTTGAAGCCTGGGCTTTTTGTTGAAGTTCGTCTTCTGTATCCGCCGGAAGGATTAGATTATCCACATAAAGATTATCACGTATGTCGCTTGCGAGGACCTCGTCTGTGTATTGCTGCTCCATATGGTAGCGTATTGTTCCCGCTAGTAAATACGGAGAAACATTTAGGCCAAACGTTACCCTCGTAAAGCGGTAAGTGACAATATTATCTCCTTCCGGAGGGAGGTTAATGTCGCGAACCCACAAAAATCTCGTAGCGTCTCTGTCGATCTCATTGAGATGGACTTGCAAAAATGCCTTTTCGACGTCAGCTGTCGCTACATATTTTGCTGCGCGAAAGCGTATCAGCATGCCATATAACTCTGGGAGTATACTTGGCCCTTGGTGAAGTACGTCGTTCAAGGAAGGACTGTTTTTGAAGTGTGAGGAAGCGTCGAATACGATGCGCAACTTAGTCGTTTCCTTATGCGGCGTTATTACGGGCTGGTGAGGGATATAGTGTAAATGGTTTCCTTGCTGAAGTTGGTTGTCTGGGACCACTTCAATAATGCCCTTCCGTTTTTGTTCTTCAATGATGTCAGCGTAATTTTGAAGCAAGATTGTGTCTGTTTTCAGAGCTTCTAATATGCGACCCAAGCGTTTCAATGCTATAGCTTTGTTGGTGGGTAACGGCGGATGTGATTCTTTGAATGGTAGGCGCACATAATATCCGTCGGTGCGCTTCTCGATTGTTGAATTGAAAAAGTTTTCTACTTTTTCTTGTGTGACCATCTTTTCTTCGTTCTTCGTTCCTGTGAACTCGCAAATTCCCGAGGAGTCTATGGTCCAATATTTGTCCCAGCGTTCTCTATCTTCCTCGAGGCTTTCACTGAGGTTGGTAAATATTCGTACCGTAGAAAGCGAAGTTGAACAAGCCTTTCGTCCTTTCTTCGCAGCAGTCTCGGGCATTTGTTGTTTCCCTGTGATTAGATAGCCTAATTTGGAAGGGATGAGCAATAGGCCTGATGGAAGCGTGAATTTCGGCGACACATTTTCCATGAAGTTCCAAAGCTGGTCGCAACCGAGCAAAATCTGTGGGTTAGACTCTCTTACTTGGTTAGTTGTGGAGAGAGGTATTTGATGCGTTTCCAAGAACTTCAAGTCTTCGTCGCTTAGTATCACTTTTTTTCCTTTTTCCGTAAGCACAGGTATTGTATATAATTGTA